ACAGTATAAAGAAAAAAAAAACACACACACACAGTCATATCAATAGATGCAGAAACAGCATTTGACAAAACCCAATACTCCTTCATGATAATAACCCTCAACAAACTAGGAATAAAAGGGAACTTCCTCATCCTGATCAAAGGCATCTACAGAAAACCCACGGCTAACATCATACTTCATGGCGAAAGTCTGGAAGCCTCCCCTCTAAGATCATGAAAAAGACAAGCATGTCTGCTCTTGTCATTTCCATTCAACATTGCACTGGACATTACAGCCAGGACAGTTAGACCGGAAAAGAGAATCAAAGGTACCAAGACTGGAGAGGGAGAATCAACAACATTTATATTTGTCCCATCCACCACTTGTCTGTCAGTTTGCTGTGGTGTTGTCAATCACCTCATGTGCATGCAAAAGCTGGACAATGAATAAGGAAGACTGAAGAATAATTGATGCCTTTGAATTACGGTGTTGGCAGAGAATATTGAATATACCATGAACTGTCAGAAGACCGAACAAATCTGTCTTGGAAGAAGTACAGCCAGAATGCTCCTCAGAAGCAAGGATGGTGAGACTTCTCACGTACTTTGGACATGTTATCAGGAGGGACCAGTCCCTGGAGAAGGACAACATGCTTGGTAAAGTACAGGGTCAGCGAAGAAGAGGAAGACCCTCAATGAGGTGGACTGACACAGTGGCTGCAACAATGGGCTCAAGCATAGCAACGATTGTGAGGATGGCGCAGGACCAGGCAGTGTTTCGTTCTGTAGTACGTAGGGTCGCTGTGAGTCAGAACGACTGGACGGCACGTAACAACAATAACAATATATTTGTCGTTTACAAGATCTTGTGTACAGAAAAGTATGCTACAAGCCAAGATCCAGACGCAAAGGCTGCTTGCATTCCTGTTGACCTGCTCAAACTGTGTAAGTGTTTGAGTTCATGACATGTTGATATGCTTGTTTGGATGGAGGTACCTCTCATCCCAGGAGTCCACGAACAAGAAATACCAGGAGGCATAGCAATGACTGGTCAAAAGCTCTTAATTATAACCATTTATCCTGTTTGTTCTAACAAAAGCATGTTCAGGCCATTAAGCATACCAAGATGTTTGTGTAAATGAATCAATTTTAATTAACGTTTTGGCTGCAAAGCTGTTTCTTTTTAAGACATGAGCGTAACTGATTTATACACACACTCAAAAGCAAACTTGACATGAAGCAGGGACAATTACCCTCTTTAGCGATCATTTTAGATGTTGTCACTTTAATCAAGTATATTATTACGGTATATGTAAGAGGCCATTTCTCCTTTCTTTCTCTTTTCTTTCCCTGTTCATTGCTTACAGGCAGTCCTGACAAGGATGAGGGCGTACGTCTGTTGACAGGAAAAACCCAGCAGAAATACACATCCCCTCAAAAAGTCTAAAAATGCTATTAATGACAAACCCTTTCTACGGGAAAATATGGCACAGGTCCAGGCAACAATTAGTTATACAAAAGGTCGCCACGAGTTAGAAACAACTCAATGGCATCTAACAACAACAACTTGGGGAAAATACTGATGTCTGTCGCTGGAATTTAATGTATTGTGATGAATTCCACGCCTGTCTTTCTCTCTGCCCTCACCTCCTCGCCACAAAGAAGATGCAAGATTTTCGTACTGACGCCGCATTCACATCTGTGACATGGGATGGTAAGATCTATAAGTCAATATGAAATGATGAAAACTTTTGTTTTTCTTTTTAAAGCAACAGAATTTAAACATGAAAAGGTATTTTGTCCAAAAGGAATCCCAAGGTGAAAAGGAAACAGGCTTTTAAATTTCCATCACCACTACAGTAGCTTTTCTCTGATGATAGGACTTAGCAGCTTGGAGACATTCTGGACTCTAGAAGGTCCTGTGATGTGGGAAAGAGAAAAGAATGATATTTGGCCGAGTAAGAAAGCTTCCACTTCACAGTGACAGTAAGGACTGAAGACTTAAATTTTCAGACACACTTACTCTTTAGTTGAGCTCATCCTATCCATGGATTTAAATACTATCTATGTGCTGAATGGTCCCAATTATATCTCCACCCCCAGCCCCTCCCATGAACCCCAGGCTCACCACTCCTCCCCCATGACCCTCCACCACCTGGATGTCTCATAAGCACACACATGTCTTCAATGCCCAGAACTAAACCTTTGATTCCATAGGTTCCTTCTGAAATCTGTTTCTTCCCCAGGTTTCCCCTCTCTATAAATGCAACTCCATTTTTCCAGTTGCTCAGGCCCCAAATCATAGAAGTTAACTTTCCCTTACTCCTCACATCCAATCCAGCAGAAAGACCTGTCTTCACCACTCTTTACCGCATTGCCCAGGATCTGACCACGTTTGACCACCTCCACTGCCGCCCCGTGCAAAACACCAAAACACCATGGTCCCTCACCTGGCCTTAAGTTTCCACCCTTCCTCCCCACTCCTGTAGCAGCAAGACCAATCCTTTCAAAAGAGCCAGGTCATAAAATAAAGCAGAGTCAGAGACTAGAGAGTGATGGAAGGTGGCATTTCAGATGAGGTTGACCACCACTGCTGACTAGGTGACACTGAAATGGGGTTCTGAATGAGCTAAAATAGGAATCATGTGGCTATCTGGCCAAAGAACACTCTAGATGATGAGAGTCACAAGGAGGTAGGGTGACTTGGGCAGAGTGAGCCAGGCTGAGAGAGGTAGAAGCTGGGATCAGGGGCCATTAGCAGAGGGGATGGCTGTGCTGGCCGCACTGGCCACTGGAAGAACTCTGGATTCATTCGAGTGGGATGTGAAGCCCAGAAGGACTGAGCCCAGGGCATGATATAGCTCTTCTGAAAGTACTGTTCAAACAGCACAGGTTTCACCATGTTCGTGCTCAAAACTCAACCTTCTGCTCAAGAAAAACACCAAAAACAAACAAAGAAAAACAATAATTATCGGGCTGCTATCCAAAAGGTTGGAAGTTTGAGTCGTCCCAAAGGTGCCTTGGAACAAAGGCCTGGAGATCTACTTCTGAAAAATCAGCCACTGAAAACCCTGTGGAGCACAGTTCTATTCTGACACACGTGGGGTCGTCACGAGTTGGAGTCGACTTGTCGGCAACTGGTTTATTTTTTTTGGTGATGAAGCCTGAGAGAACAAGCTTCCCTGCATCCTCGTACAGATACAACGCAACAAAATAAAAACAAGGACAACAAACACAGCTACTTGATGTGTTTCTTAAGGCTGTAATCCCATGAAATGTTTTCCTTGGTCCCAAGAAGCCTTTTGTCTTGTTGGGACCCATCATTTAGTGGCCTAGTCATTTTCTCCTCCCTCAACTTCTTCCCGTGGGCGACAGATCTCTGTAACTACAATGCTGTTGTTGCTGTTAGCTGACATCCAGTCAGCCCCCAACTCATGGAGACCCCGTGCACAATGGAACGAAATGCTACCCAGTCCTGTGCCATGCCCACGAGCAGCTACAGATCAAACTGTTGTGATCCATAGGGTTTTCACTGGCTGATTTTCAGAAGTAGGTTGACACACCTTTCTTCCTTGTCTGTCTTCGTCTGGAAGCACCTCTGAAACCTGTTCTGTATCACAGCAACACACAAGCCTCCGCTGACAGATGGTGGTGGCTGCACGCGAAATGCACTGGCCTAGAATTGAAGCCAGGTCTCCTGCATGGAGGTGAGAATTCTACCCTTGAACCAGCACTGCCTCAACTATGAGGCAGGGAATATAAAAATACTCTTAGAACAGGAAGATGTAGAAAATGAACACGTTTACCTACTTAAGAGAATACTAAGGGCCTATCCTCCTTGGCAATGCTTGCTTTGCTTAGATAACATTTTAAATGCCCTTCTTCTCTGTTGGGTGGTAAACCCCAAGCCTTGGTGACAGTTGTCTCTCTACTGTACCATGTGGCACTTAGAAGGAGCTGGAATCGTTCATTTTTTTGTTTGTTTGGTATGAAAAATGTATATGTTCACATCAGGAAATTTCACTTAAGAATTTGGCCCATGTATTTCAAGGCTAATATTTGGGAGAAATCTGCCTTGGAGGAAGTACAGCCAGAATGTTCCTTAGAAGCAAGGATGGCGAGCCTTCAGCTCACTTACTTTGGACATGTTCTCAGGAGGGACCAATTGCTGGAAAAGGACATCATGTTTGCTAAAGTAGAGGGTCAGCAAAAAAGAGGGAAACCATCAACGAGATGGACTGACACAGTGGCTGCAACAATGGGCTCAAAGATAGCAAGTTGTGAGGATGGCGCAAGACCGGGCGGCATTTTGTTCTCTCGTACACAGGGTCGCCGTGAGTCAGAGCTGACCTGATGGAGCCTAACGACAGCAAACAACAGAGATGTCTATTAGAAACAATCTCTGCTGATTTTGCTCATTCCTGTTTACGTTTATTGGGCCAAATTTCATAGGTTTCATATTAGAATAATACAGAGATCAAACTACGAATGTTACATTTATTCTTCTTATTTCTTAAATATCCTTGGACGCGACAATGGCAAGCCTTCGTCTCACATACTTTGGACATGTTATCAGGAGGGATCAGTCCCTGGAGAAGGACATTATGCTTGGTAAAGCAGAGGGTCAGCAAAAAAGAGGAAGACTCTTGAAGAGATGGATTGACACAGTGGCTGCAACAATGGGCTCAAACATCATGATTGTGAGGATGGCGCAGGACCGGGCAGTGTTTCATTCTGTTGTACACAGGGTCGCTATGAGTCAGAACTGACTCAACGGCACCCAGCAACAACAACAACAAATAGCCCTAAAAGTTAAATCAACATGTCCACCTTGAAAATCCAGTATGGCTGTAAGTAAGCCTCTTCCCTTCCTGGGATGTGAGTGAGCTCCAAGTGACATGACAGATAACTTCTCAGTTTGGAAATGAGCACCATTGGAGTCCCTCCAAGGTAACTGGACCCCAGCAGAAAACAACCCTGCAAATCAGGTGGCAGTACCCCCGGAAAACCAGGCCCACTTACTTGGGTAACAGAAGGATCTGCACGAGGAAGATGCAGAAGAAGATGAGGCAGGCACAGGTCACGTAGTACTTGAACGCTGGCAGGGCCGTTGCTCGGTACTAAGGGGGAGAGAAGCCACTGATGAAAGACCTCCAGGAAGGGCTGCACACAATCACCCAGCTGCCTAACTGCACCTAGGACACAGCACGCGGGTCAACCATAGATGGGGGCAGCAACGCGCTGAGGACAACAGCTCTTCATCCCAGGCCTTAGGGGCCTCCCCCTCTAACCGAACTGGGACGGAGTGACTTCCAGAGACCACCCTTCGCATGAGTGGAACTCTTCAGAAACCCGCTGATATGTCACTGACTCATTCCAACGAGAGGAGAGAGGCCCCCGGTGGGGAAAATGAGTGAGTAAACAGAGGGACCAATGGGCCGTTCAGGTACCCTACAATCAGGTCTCATGCCTGCAAGTATGTGAGGAAAAGGCGTGACTTTGCACATAATGATATTTTACTGCTGAGTTGTATTGAGGAACTTCAGGGAAACGTATTTCCTTTTTGGCCTTTCTTAATGCTACTTAGAGGCAGTGGGTCAAGTTTACAGACAGAGGAGGCCGGCAGGCTTTGCTCTAGGTCCATGGCGACCACTTTGGCTTCTGCAGAGCCTGACAGATGGACTCTTCTTTCTCTTGTCCAGCAGAGTCAGCAGGGGGCAACATGGCTTCTCCCAATGTCAGGAGGGTAAACTGACCTGTGGGCAGGTCTACCACCAGGCACTGTGCCTGCTTGGTGCAGATCATGTAGGAAAGAAGTCAGACAGGGCTACGATCAGAGGGTGGTGACGAGGATCTCGATGGCTTAGCGCCTTCACCAGGTTCCAGGACCGTAAATGCTCTCCATGCTGCTCATTAATCCTCACCATGCCCGACAGGCAGGGACTATGATCGCCCCTATTTTGGGGGTAAGGCAAGTCGGGCCCAGCATAAGAAGTACAACTAGAATGCTCCTTAGAAGCAAGGACTACATCTCACATACTTTGGGCATGTTGTCAGGAGGGATCAGTCCCTGGAGAACGACATCATGCTTGGTAAATAAAGTAGAGGGTCAGTGAAAAAGAGAAAGACCCTCAATGAGATGGACTGACACAGTGGCTGCAATAATGGGCTCAGACATAACAACGATTGTGAGCACGGCGCAGGACTGGGCAGTGTTTCATTCTGTTGTACGTAGGGTCACTGTGAGTCAGAACCGACCGACGGCATCTGACAACAAGAACAAGAAGCTCAGGGAGATAGAGTTAGCTCCTGGCGAACAGTTTGCCCAGGTCCAGCAGTCAGCACATGGCAAAACCAGGATCTTCACCCAGGCGGACCAGCTCCAGAACCTACGCTCCCAACCATGACAAGAAGGTGACTCTCAAAAAGAGGGTTTTACAATAGAATTAAAGGAAATAGAGTCTTACAGGCATTGCCATGGGGTCCTCATGGAAATATAGGCAGGCTGCATTAGCCTTTTGCCCAGATGCTTCCCGGTTACGGGGAAACGTTTGTATTTCTCGTGCTGCTGCCACAGAAGGGCTGAATGCTGGTTCTCCAGCTGCTCGTCTGCTCCTTGGCTTCTGGATTCCTGGTGCCCCCCTCTCACCAGGAGCAGCCAGGGTCATGGGGGCAGGACGTGGCTTAAGGCTCTGTGCTCTCTAATGTCTGCCTCACAGTTGACCTCTGCGAACGCATCCACTTGGACAGAGGAGGCAGGAGCTGCATTTTTTTTATGATGATCACCTTCTGCTTACTGAACATTTTCCGTAACTTTTGTGACTTAATAGCCAGGGGAATTTACATGCAAATGAAGAACCTATGTTAGCCTAATGGCTGAAATGCAATTACATTTTATGCATCTGGTCAAACGCTTATCTTTCTTAACTTCTCCAGGATTTGGTACAGAGATATGAGTGGAAATTGGCACAGTGGTTTTAATAAAGAAAAACAGACATCCATCAGAAGGAAGTAACCTAACATTTAAACAATAACTAGCCATTTGTATTGGTTAAAGTAATTCAAGGATAAGATGGGCAATGAAAATAAATCATATTAAACATCAATTTGAAAAACCATCTGTCAAAGTCCTTTACTCAGAAGTAGACAACTGATCTTATAGACCACTGACACAGAAGAAGGTTTTATTGTAACTATAAAATCTAATACTGATGAATTTTGGAAGGCACTGTGATATTAGAGATTTCCATTCAATATCCATGAAACGATGAACTGAATTCTCTCAACAGAATTTTCATACCGGAGTCGTGACTGCTGCCACTAACATAATAGCCTTTGTTCAAACCAAGCCTGTAACTATGTGGTTGGTGGCAGAAATTATCTCCAACGCTTGTGCCCTTTCTGATCAGCACAAACCAAAAGGCAAATGAAATAAGGCTGACCCACAAGAGCGTCTGTCCTCTCCATAGTATCACTTAATTCATTTTAGCAAATCCACGTTAAGTTGGACACGTAAACACCAAATGTCGGCTTATTTATTTGTGCCGCAGATAACCCTTAACTGTAGGAGTCATAAAGTGGAAGTATTACAGTCCAACAAAACTTACAAGTTTGGGTTTTCTAATCTTCCCAAAAAGGTGCTCAATATAAATCTCATATTTTTGTCAAAAATGTAAAGAAAAAGGTATCTGTGTAAATACACTGTAAATCTATCAGGAAGAATTTTGTTTTTTTTTAAACATTTTCTAAGAACATTTCACATGGAGAAAGCAGGTAGCCCTTCCTGGCCCACTTCCTCTGCCCTACCCTAGAGGTGTTGCCAACAGTATTAATTACCTGCCGCGGTGAAGGGTGGTGGCTGGCCAGAGAGAGAAACTCGGAAATAAGAAATATGATAACACAACATATTCATGGAAAAGCCACAAGAAAAGCCAGACAAAGCCTGGATACAGTTAAAGGCGTTTAGGTGCCACATGTAAAGCGAACAAACAAACAGAATACAACTTCATGAAGGAATTTAAAAAAAATAACATTTTCAGAGAAACCAATTGATTTTGAAGAAGAAATAGCTTACTTCTTTTTCCAGTATTTTATTATAGAAAAACAGCGAGATTCTCTGGATGTCTTCAGATTTGAGCCACTGCCTGGAAGTAAAAGGTAGAGACACATCGTAAAACCTCCAACCAAATATACGGAATGACGTCTTCACTTTTTCACTTTTTTAAAAAAAAATAAATTGCATTCTTCTGTTTTTAGCGTACATCACCCAACACCAAATATTTTTTGAAAAAGGATAATGCCAACTAACTGGGTATAGAATCTATAGCTTGTTTTCAGCACCTGCAAATACAATACTCATATTCATTTACTGCACTCCTGGGAAAATTCAACATTACCAACCAACTCTCAGGGCAAATTTAAACTCAAGTGCTCCAAGTTAAACAACCGGGGAGACACATCATCAAAAGGGTTCAAGAACTGAATCCCCGGCAGTTTCATCTCCTGAAGAAGCCAGATGTGGAGAAGCACCACTGTCCTCAGCGCGATACACACAGAGCGCCCAGACCATTAGAGCGAGCGTCCGCAGGTTCTGGGTGAGATGGTTTTGCTCCTTTCACAAAAACACTCTCACTGTAATTTTTTCCAGTTCTACAAAATACAAACAGTGTTCTGAATACAGTTATCAGAAAGCTGGTAAAAATGCTAATGGAACATAAGATCGGTTCCGACCACCAGCAAAATGCAGCTACGCAAACATAAACACACACCTACATAAACGTTCATCTCTCAGACGTTGAAAAAGTACATAAAAATGATATGGAAGCATGCATTCTTACGCATTGATGGGCTTTCAGAAATCTGACTTAACAAAGACGTTGCAATTAGAGAAACAGCTTCAGGACAAAACTTGTCACTAAAGTGTTTTTATATAATTGTAAGCTAAACAGTGACTCCAGGCGAAGCACGCGCGCGCAGAACAGCTCACACAATCACAGCTTTGGGGATGCAAAGAAACCCATTTTAGGAAACAAGGTTGCGTGAAATAGGAAGATACCTATTCTTTTTTTTTAAAAATTTATTTTATTTTATTTTTTTATATTTTATTGTACTTCAGGTGAAGGCTTACAGACCAAATAGTTTCTCATGAAACCGTAGTACGCATGTTGTTTTATGACATTGGTTAACAATCTCACAACATATGAACCCTCTAACTTCTCAACCTTTTTTTTGGTGAAAATACACATAGCCAAAGATACACCATTTCAAAAATTTCTACATGCACAGTTCAGTGACACTGACTACGCTCTTCCAATTGTGCTGCTATTCTCACTTTAGATGAAGGCTTACAGAACAAAATAGTTTCTCATTTAACAGTTACTATAAATGTTGCCCTATGACAATGGTTAACAATCTCACAACACATCAACAATATCCTCACTCAACCTTGGGTTCCCTATCACCAGCTTCCTTGTCCCCTTCTGCCTTCTGGCCCTTGTCACTGGACTCCTGTACCTCGTTAGTCTCATTTGGTTTTACGGGGCTGTCCACTTCCAGGCTGAACAGTGAACCTCGGAGGTAGCTTCACCACTGAGCTAAAAGGGTGTCTGGGGGCCATACTCTCGGGGTTTCTCCAGTCTCCTTTAGGCCAGTAAATCTGGTCTTTTTTTTGTGAGTTAGAATTGTGCTCTACTTCCTTCTCCAGCTCTGTCCAGAAACCTCTGTTGTGATCCTGGTCAGAGCAGTCAGTGGTGGTAGCCGGGCACCATCTAGCTGTACTGGACTCAGTCCGGTGGAGGCCTGGGTAGCTGTGGACAATTAGCCCTTTGGACTAATCTTTTCCTTGTATCCTGTTCTCTTCATTCTCCCTTGCTCCCGAAGGGATGAGACCAGTGGCGTGGAAGATACATATTCTTATACTGATGAGTACAGCAATGTAAGAAAAAATCCTAATCTATGCATCGGAAAAATATCTAGAAATAAATACCAATAAAATATATTACTGACTTGTTGGGGTCCTAAGTCACTGAGGAATTCATATGTGTACAGTCCCAATTTTTCTGAAATATTTTTATCCTTTAAAAATACAGTAATCTCAAAGGCATACATGTATGCATATTCATATATGCTCATGAATATACATATCTGTATATATATCCACACATCGATATCTGCATCTCTCTATAGATAGAGATACACAGATACAGATGTTGTTGTATGCCTTCAGGTCGATTCTGACTCACAGAGACCCTATAGGACAGGTCGAACTGCCCCATAGGGTTTTCCAGGCAGAAATATTTACAGGAGCGGGCCACCAGGTCTTTTCTCCCGTGGAGCGCTAGTGGATTCAGACCATCAACCTTTCAGCATCTGAGTGCTTAAGCGCTGCTACACCAGGGCTCCTTTATACATATAGATATATAGATATAGATACAGATACAGAGAATATTTATACTAGGACATTACAGAGAAAATAATCTTTTATATATATTTCCAAAAAAATTTATACTCATTCAAACAATTGTCAATTTATGTGAGTTTCTAAATAAAATACTTGGATATAATATAATACTATGGATTTTGACTCACTGAGACATATTTGGGAAATAAAGATAAAGGATGAAGGCCTTTGAGGACTCAGGAAAAAAATGACAATTGAAACTGTTACCCTTAACCCAATAATCAGCAAGAGAGGCAACCCGCTGGTTTCAGATTAAAGAAAATAGCTGCTTCAGAGTCTACTCCGACCCAGGGAGACTTGTGTGTCAGGGTAAAACGGTGCTCCGTAGGGTTTTCAGTGGTTGCTTTTTTGAGAGTAGATTGCCAGGCCTTTCTTCTGAGCGTCCACAGGTAGACTTGAACTGCCAACCTTTCGTTTAACAGACAAGCACGTTAACATTTGCACCAGTCAAAGGCTGAGTTCAGATTGTTGCGAGGTGCCATCAAGCCGGTCCCCTCTCACAGCCATCCCGTGTACAAAAGAACGGAACACTGCCCTGTCCTGAGCTGTCCTCACAGTCGTTGTTATGCTTGAGCCCACTGTTGCAGCCACTGTGCCCATCCATCTCGTGAAGGGTCTTCTTCTTATTTTTCGCTGACCCTCTAGCAGTGGTTAAGAGTTCTGCTGCTAACCAAAAGGTCGGCAGTTCAAATCTACCAGCTGCTCCTTGGAAACCCTATGGGGGAGTTCTACTCTGTCCTAGAGGGTCGCTATGAGTCAGAATCGACTCCATGGCAATGGGTTTGGTGTTTTTTGGTTTTCTCTACCCTATCAGTTTGATGTCCTTCTCCAAGGACTAGTCACTCCTGATAACATGTCCAAAGTACATGAGACAAAGTCTCCCCATCCTCACTTCCAGGGAGCACTCTGGATGTACTTCCACCAAGACAGACTTGTTAGTTCTTCTGGCAGTCCATGGTGTATTCAATATTCTTCCCCAACACCATAATTCAAAAGCATCAATTCTTCTTCGGTCTTGCTTATTTACGGTCCAGCTTTTGCATGCATTATGAGGCAGTTGAAAATATTATGGCTTGGGTCAGGTGCACCTTAGTCCTCAAAGTGACATCTTTGCTTTTCAACACTTTAAAGAGGTCGTTTGCAGCGATTTGCCCAATGCAGTACGTTGTTTGATTTCTTGACTGATGCTTCCATGGGCACTGATTGTGGATCCAAGTAAAACAAAATCCTTGACAACATCAATATTTTCTCCGTTTATCATGATGTTGCCTATTGGTCCAGTTGTGAGGATTTTTGTTTTCTTTATGTTGAGGTGTAAGCCATACTGAAGGCTGTGATCTTTGATCTTCATCAGTAAGTGCTTCAAGTCCTCTTCACTTTTAGCAAGCAAGGTTATGTATGTCATCTGCATAATACAGGTTGTTAATGAGTCTTCCTCCAATCCTGATGCCGCATTCTTCCTCATACGGTCAAGCTTCTCAGATTATTTGCTCAGCATATAGATTGAATAAGTATGGTGAAACGATACAACCCTGAGGCACACCCTTCCTGATTTTAAACCATGCAGTATCCCCCTTGTTCTGTTTGAACGACTGTCTCTTGGTCTATGTACAGGCTCCTCATGAGCACAATCGCGTGTGCTCAAATTTCCATCCTTGTCAATGTTATCCTTAATTTGTTATGATCCACCCAGTCAAATGCCTTAGCACAGTCAATAAAACACAGGCAAATATCTTTCTGGTATTCTCTGCTTTCAGCCATGATCCGTCTGACATCCGCAATGGTATCGCTGGTTCCATGTCCTCTTCTGAATCCAGCTCACATTTCTGGCAGTTCCCTGTTGATGTAATGCTGCAATCTTTTTTGAATGATCTTCAGCAAAATTTTACTTGCGTGTGATATTAATGATATTGTTCGACAATTACCGCATTCTATTTTATCACCTTTCTTTGGAATGGGCACAAATATGGATCTCTTTCTGTCAGTTGGCCAGGTAGCTGTCTTCCAAATTTCTTGGCATAGACAAGTGATCACCTCCAGCGCTACATACATTTGTTGAAACATCTCAGTTGATCTTACCTCGATTCCTGGAGCCTTGTTTTTTTGCCAGTGCCTTCAGTGCAACTTAGACTTCTTCCTTCAATATCGGTTCTTGATCATATGCTACCTTCTGAAATGGCTGAATGTCGACCAGTTCTTTTTGGTACAGTGACTCTGTGTATTCCTTCCATCTTCTTTTGATGCTTCCTGCGTCGTTCAATATTTTGCCCATGGAATCCTTCAAAATTGGAATTCAGGGTTTGAATTTTTTCTTCAGTTCTTTCAGTTTGAGATACGCTGAGTATGTTCTTCCCTTTTGGTTTTCTATGTTCAGGTCTTTTCACATTTCATTATAACACTCTACTATGTCTTCTTGAGCTGCCATTTGAAATCAGCTCTTTTACTTCATCATTTTTTCATTCGCTTTAGCTACTCTACGTTAAAAAGCAAGTTGCAGGGTCACTTCTAACATTCATTTGGTTTTTCCTTTCTTTCCTGTCTTTTAAATGACCTCTTTCTTGCTTTCTTCAAGTGTGATGTCTTTGATGTCATCCCACAACTCAACTCGTCTTCATTCATTAGTGTTCAATGTGTCAAATCTATTCTTGAGATGGTCTCTAAATTCAGGTGGGATATACTCAAGGT